TTGTATTGACTTTAGCATTTTGTATTTTCTCAGAAATTTACATTGTACACATCCTGTTTTATAACACCTTTTTGCTTAATGCCATATTCCCCCCTTGTTAACAAGCACAGATGTATGGGATCCTTTGAAGCAGCTCCTTTGTAGGGCTCTATTGCCTTGGATGTGCCATGATGTTTTTACCAATCTCTCCAGATAGATGGTTAGTTTTCAGTTATTCTGTTACAATGTTGTTTGGGTTCTCTCTCTCTGAAACTAACCACCCACTCGTAGTGGCTTAAAACAACAACCATTTTATTGCTCAGGAATTTGGGCAGGGCTTAGCCGGGTGGTTTTTCTACTCTTTGTTGTGTCTGCTGTGGTCACTGATGAAGCTGGGAGCTTGGCTGGGGCAGGAACGCCCAAGATGGCACCTCACCTGGGAGCTGGCTTCTCTTTCTCTCGGTTTGTAGACCCTTATTTTCCACAGCCTCTACCTCCCTCCTCTCCACGTGGTCTCTCTCACCAGCAGTGGAGTCAGATTTCTTGGTTCAGTGGCTAGCTTTCCAGAGAGCAAAAATAGAAACTGCTAGGCCTCTTACGTCCTAGCCTGGACTAGGCAGGGTCTCGCTTCCACTGGGTCCTACTGGTCACAGCAGGTCACATGGTCAGTCCAGACTTCAAAGATGGGGAACAGACCCCACAGCTTTATGGGAGAGCAGTGTGTGGGTATAGAGGTAGGAGGTAGCCATATTTGCAGAAAATCTGGCACAACTGTGAACATCCTTATATACTTTGTTGAATTTTGGAGTCAAAGGAGAACATTCTTTGAATGGTTATGTGGTCTGTTGACTGCAGGATCTCAGGCAGATCACATAGCCTCTGGGGCAAGGCGTATAAAGTCTTAATCCTAAAATTTCCTACAGTTTAGTAGGGAATAGACACCAGCACTGACATGACTTATAATAACTATAGACACTCTACAGGAAGTTTGTTGCCAGGCTAGTCTTAACTTGGTTCTCTCCAATCATTGAAGATGGCATTATCCCCATTTTACAGAGGAAGAAACTGAGACTCCAAAATTAGCTGGCTTAACCTCCATGCCATCTCCATTCCCTGCCATCTGGATCTCATCCTCTTCTAGGATTTTCTCTGCCCTGCACAGTGTTGTGACAACAACATGCATCATATGGCATTTGACAACTTCTTGTGCCTCTCTTGTCCCTTGGTGAGGTGGTGTGTTAAGGAGGTGACAGGACTTAAGGGCTCAAGTTCTCGAGTCAGGTTTCCTGTCCTGCAACCTCAGTCTGCCCCTGTGGACAAATGGCTTCACTTCACCGACCCTCACTTTCCTTATCTGTGGAAAAGAAACAGTCTCACCATAACATAGGGAGATTCAGAGGATTGGTGCATGGAGAACACCTTGATTTCCTGTAGTAGTGAAGGTGGAAGAACACATTTAGGTTCCTGGGGGCCCTTCAGCCTAAGCCTTCCCTGCCTCTCTCACTTTGGCTGGTCGGGGAGGCCAATATGTTCTCTGTAAATAAAAATATCACTAGGGTTCATTCAGTGCTCCCTGGGTATAAGAACCAGTGTTCTTTTAAGATGCTCAAGGTGATAGCTAGAAATTTCCACTTTCCCAGCTGTCAGTCTGGACTTGGCTGCTCAGTAATTCCTCCGTGGTCCTTCTCAGGCAGTCCAACCTCAGGCCCGGGCTGTCACACTCTGCCCATCTTAACAAGGTTCCCCTATCCTGATGCCTTCAAAGGCAGGTCTGGCTCTTCTAAGCGTGCCCAGAAAAACTACAAACCATGACTGGGGGGGAAGGGAGTTGACACATTCATGTTGATTCACGGCTGAGTCAGTGCCAGCCCGGAACATCTGGCCCTCAGTGTCACGCCTGGAATAGGAGAAGGTTTAGTATCGTTTGGCTGGTGTTCTCTACACAGAGGCCTAATTCTGTTCCTTCAGTTATGATTCCCTGTTTCATTGCCCATGAGGGCCTGTCCAGATATCTGGTCACATTTTCCTGCAAATAACAATGTTCCAGCAAAATCACCCCCCAACTTTGTGACTTCAGTGCTGTGGTGTGGGTGTCTCTTACAGGCACCCTGGGAGCCTGGTTCAGTAGGAGAAACTGTTTTGATTTGGAGTGATGTTTCTTCTCCCATCTGTTACTTGTCGAGAATGGCTAACTGGTGCAGGGATGAGCTTTGGTAGCTTTCCGGAGCCAGGAAAGTCATCAGGGTAAACTGGAGATGAGGACAGCAGGAAATTCTTGTTTGTAAGTTGGAGACCTGTGTGGACATCCCCAAAGTCAGTTCTGAAAGTACCTCTGAAAGGGTCCTGAGAAGAAATAGAGGTAAATGGGTCGTAAAAAACCGTCTCATTATTTTAATTCAGTTTGGAAATTGAAGTCGAATTTAGGGTCTTCAAAATCCTGTGTGTCTCTAAAAAGACTTTCCTACTTCTGTAATTTCTGTTTTGGGGAAATGGGTTTCTCATAGATCATAAGATAGTTGGATTCGGCAGGCTGGGTACGATATGTTGTCTTGTGTCGTGGCTGTGTTTCGTTGGTCATGAGATCAGAAGTCATACAGCAGTCACACACATTACATAATTGTTGTAGTCCATTCACACTGCTCTAACGAAATACCCGAGACGGGGTGATTTGTAAATTACAGAAGTATATTCTTCACAGTTCTGCAGGCTGGAAAATCCAAGATCAAGGTGCCAGCAGGGTCGACATCTGGTGAGGACTCTGCTTCAGGATGCCTCCTTGTTGCTGTGTACTCATATGGTGGAAGGTGGAGGGCCAAAAAGAGACCAAACTCCTTCCCTGAAGCCATTTTATAAGGACACTAATCCATTCATGAGGGTGGAGTCCTCATGGCCTAATCACCTCTCGATACATTCATATCAGAGCAATTGTATAACTCAGTATTTTCTGAATCGGGTTCTGGGGGTTGTTGAATATTACTTAAAAAGTGGGGTGTGGGGTGAGGATGATCCCTCCTCCATCCATGGTCCTAGTGATGCTGCCCATCACCGTGCAGTGGCTGCCCTCCTGTGGCCAGGAGCTGGGCCCCTGACTTGACTGGGCCAACTAGATTCTCTGCCCCCAGGCTTTTGGATGGAGAGATGGAAAGAAGGAAAAATAGCTAAGATTTCTTCCTTCTGTAATTGTGCTTGATGAGACAGCCCTGTGCCCTCACACCTACCTTGGCTCCCATCTGTTTCTGAGCCTGGTTTTCCATCGCTGTGTAGGCTTCTCCGAGTGACCTGTTAACTTCTCAGCCCATGTCTAGTGGGTTTTGAGTTAAAATAAATTTAAGAAACTGGCTAACATTGTAATGTTACTGTGTACCTTCTCTGAGCCTTATACATATTGATGTACCTGATGAAAGTCTAATATGTTATACATGCAGCAGAATTATAATTTGGCAGACCTCACAAATTTGGAGGTTTCCAGGCCACACAGGAAGGGTAAATGGGAATGGTTGCCACTAGTTTTAATAGGGAGAGTTAGGGACTAGGGCCAACCTGAGGCATGTCCCTTATCTAAAGTGACATCTGCTGCTTGCCTCCAGCCGATGACTGAGTGGTTATATTATGAGTTTATTTTGTCAAAGGCTCTGACAGCTACACCTGAGCATAGGTAATGTCCAGAACTGTTTTTGTGGTATTGTTGCAAGCTTGGGCTTCCAGCTAGCCTTGTTGGGTTCTGATCCTGCCTGGACTCTCAGTTTTGTGTTTTGCATAATGGTGTTGGTAACATCAACCACCTCCTAGAGCTGTTGTAAGGACTCAGTGACAAGATGTTAATTAGACATTTCAACCCAGAGCCTGGCGTTTAGTAAGTGCTGAATAAATAGTTGCTACATGTGATGTCTTTATGTGTGAGTAGAGAAAATTCACCCATATTTCCAGGAAAATTAGATGACACCCAGTATGATAGAGATTGTCATTGCCCTGGGGCAAGGGCCAGTTTGGTATTGTTCATCATTATACCCCAGTGCCTGACACAACATAGAGGTTCAAATATTTTATTGACTATTGAAAGACTCAAAGTATTAAAACTTTGAATTCTTATAATTAAAAGTACACAAGGGATGTTATGAAGACCTTATATACCAGAATTCTATCCAGGAATGTAATATTCCACTATTCACTCACTCATTTTTCTATTAATCCATCTATTTATTGACCCGCCCATCCACCCATCCACCCATCCACCCATCCACCCATCCACCCATCCACCCATCCATCCATCCATCCATCCATCCATCCATCCATCCATCCATCCACCCATCCATCCATCCATTCATCCATCCATTCCCCCATCTTCCATCTCCTACAGGGTCAATTGTGGTTTAACCCATTTTGCTACTGCAAAAAATAAGGAAGAGAGAATGAAAGAATTTGCACCTCCTAACACGTGGTAAGGTCATGAAGAAGTTGAATGTCCTGGAAATGAAGTGTCTGCCCTGGTGCTCAGTTTCCTGAGCTCAAATCCCAGTGTGGCAACTTCCTGGCTAAATGGCCTTGAACAAGTCATGGTTTTACCATGTTTTGGATGGAGATAATAATCCTACAATTTAGGTTTGTAAGAATTGTATGAGATAATGTGTATAGACCACTTGAGACAGTGTCTGGCACTTGGTGAATCATCTGATCAGTGTCAACTTCTGCTCCCTGAGACTCTTGCAGTAACATGGAGGCTGTATAATTCCTGCCTTACTGTATTCTGTCTCTCTGTGTTCCCCTCTAACAATTTGTAAGGTGAGATTGCCGCAGAGCAGCTCCCCATTCTCTGTATGTATCTCTTCATACCTCTTCTGCACTCCAGAACTACTGGGGGTCTTTATGCCTGGAACTTGGTCTGATGAACCCAAGACTGGTGGGTCCCCTCCCACCTTCTCCACCCCCTGAGGCTCCCTCCTCCTTCAGTGGCTGGCTATCAGGGTGGCTGAGCTGTGACCCAGCTAATCTGGAGCCTGTGTCTCTCTCCTTCTCTCTCGCAGGGAGTCGGATCTCTTCCTGCTTGACAGTCGCACCCTCTGGGCCTCAGAGGAGGGCTGGCTGGTGTTCGACATCACGGCCACCAGCAACCACTGGGTGGTCAACCCACGGCACAACCTGGGCCTGCAGCTCTCGGTGGAGACTCTGGATGGTGAGTCCCTGGCCATAGCCACCACTAGTTCTAATGCAGCCTGTGCTCCTGGACTTGAGGAGGATCTCAGCAGTGTTCATGCATGTTTTCATCAAGAACAGGCTCTGCTTGCCTCTCCCAACCAGTACGCAGTGTTAAGCCTTTTGATGCAAACCGGAAGCAGCCCCTGCTCCCTTTGTACTACAGTATTACATGTTTGGCCACACCTGGATTGGGTGAGGCCTCGTTGCTCAAAGGGTGGTCCCACACCAGAAGGGGCATCCCTTTTAGTAGAAATACAGAATCTCAGCCTACCCCAGACCTGCTCCATCAGAACCTTCACTTTAACCAGAGCCCCAGGTGATGCCTGTACATGCAACAGTCTGGGAAGCATTGGTGCAGCCTTCTCAACCTCATGGCACACAGCATTCTGGGCTGTCCTGTACATTGTAGGATGTTTAGTGGAGTCCCTGGCTTTACCTGCTAGATGCCAGTAGCACCTTCTAGTTGTGACCTCCAAAAATGTCTCCAGACATTGCTAGATTTGCAGAATTGGCCCTGATTTAGAACCACTGCACAGGTGCAAGGCATTTGCCCTTTCCAAGAGACCCAGAATGTGGCTCTGAGTTCTGAGTTCTTGGGGAATCCATTGTTAGCATGCCATCCCCCCTGCACCTCTCACTGCCCACCACACATCTGCCTCCTTTGAGAAGGTGGGACAGAAAGGTGAGAGGGGTACTGGAGGTGGGCTTGGCTGTGCTAATTTCTCCCTCCCCTGGAGTGTGTTTCTAATTAAGTGGGGCTGGTTTCTGGGTGTGCAGCTTATTCCTTCCACCAGTTTCAAGAAAAGAAAAATTTTTTTTCATTTGTTTTTGAATAAGAAATACATGCCCATGGCTCCAAAGTTAAACATTACTGAAGTGTGTAACAGTAAATGGCTTCCCTCTGACTATTCCTCCAGCTGCTAAGTTCCACTTCCCAAAGGCAACTGCTATTTCCATGAATATCTTTTCAGAGATGCTCTCTGGATATTTCAGCTATTACATATAGATTCTGCTTTCTGTTGGTTTTCTTTTCTCCCATAAATGATGGTATAGCATACACAGTGTTCTTGACCTGATGGCTTATCTTGGAGATTGGTCCTGTCAACCATTAAAGATCTTCCTTGTTTGTCTTAAGGCTGATGTGTTTTGTGTCCATGTGCAGAGCGAGTGTAGCTCTGCCACTCACTCACTGTGTGACTTTGGATAACTTCCCTAACCTGTGAGAGCCTTGTCTGCCTCATCTCCAATGTGCAGGTGATAAGACGGCCTGGGCCACTGGGTTGTTGTGAGACTTAATGAGTCAATATGGAAAGAGTTCTAAAAATAGTGCCTTGATGTGCATAAGGACATCCTGGGCATCTTGTTAAAACACAGATTCTGATTCAGCAGGTCTGGGGCAGGGGGGAGCCTGCATTTCCAAATAGCTCCTGGTGATGCACAGGCTGCTGGTCACTGGACCACGCTTTGAGTGGTGATGTCTTAGAACAGGAGATGCCTATATTACATATGCCCTAAATGGGAGTTGTTACTATTATTATTCTTACCACTGAAATTGATGGTAATAATAGTATTACCATTACTATTACTTGATTGAGGATTTATCCAGTCCTCTCGAGATGGACATCCAGGTGTTTTCCAGTCTTTTGCTCTAATAGACAGGGCTGCAGTGGAAAACCATGGTGCATATGTCATTTTTCAGTTGAGTGAGTGTAGCTCTAGGGTAAATTCCTGGAAGTGACATCTTCTATTTGTAGTTTTGATAGATACTGTCAATTTGCCCTCTTTAGAGGCCATTCCGTTGCACCCCCGCCAGCAGTATGGGTGGGCGCCTGCTGCCTCTTCCTTGCCAGTTCGGGTTCCTGGGCGCACCTGTCTTCGCTTTTCGGTGGATGACCCACGGTGTCCTGTGGTCGCTTTGCTTTCGTCTCCTTCTGTTGAGGCGCAGCATCTTTGCATGTGTGCCGTTTGCTGTTTCTCCCCCCGCACCGTCTGTTCCTATCCTCTGCTCATCATTCTAGTTGGTTCTTGGTTTTGGCTGTTTGCAATTCGAGCAGCAAATATTTTCCCAGTTTTTAGTTTTCTTTTTACTTATGTTAGATTTTGCCAAGTAGATTCAAAGTGGCTATATTTAATACCCTTTTCCTGGGCTTTGCCTCTTTTCTTCCTATCAGAGACCATTGCCTTTGGTCAGGAGCTTTGGGGTGTGGGGGGGAATCTGGCCAGCATCTTGGGGATGATTTAATAAAAGTACAGTTTAGGTGCCCCTTCTTATCTCTTTCTTCAACTCAGGTACATGGTAGTAGGGTATGGGGAGCAGGAACAATTCCTACATGTCAGAGGCTCGTAGAGATCTCTGTGAGAAAAGAGAGACACCCCCCCACCCCCACCCAACACACACACCATCCAGAACATCCCCTCTGCCTGAGTTTCAGAAAACCAGAATTACTCACCACATGCCATGTGGGAGGGACTGCAGAGTTCACACTCTTGTCTCCTGCTTTCCAGATCAGTCTTTTTTCTACTCATGGTATCCCCACTTTCTTCTCCTCTATGTCTCTTCCTTTTTCCATGCTCCTGAGAAATACAGGGGATCCTAGAAGGTACTAGAGCCTTCCATTGATCTGTAACAGGGGTTGGCAAACTATACCTTGCTGACTCAGCCAGCCTCCAGTCTGTTTCTTTTTTTTTGTGGCCTGTAAGCTAAAAACAGTTTTAAGTGGCTGAGAAAAATCATAAGAATAATATTTCGTGATACATAAAATTATATGAAGTTCACATTTTCATGTCCATAAACAGTGTTTTATCAGCACACAGCCACACTCACTCATTTACATATTGTCCAAAGCTACTTTTGTGCATAAAGTTGAATAGTTGTGACAGAGACCCAATGACCCACGAAACTGAAGATATTTATTATTTTTAGAAATATTATTTACAGAAAAAGTTTGTGACCCCTGCCCTATACCAGCAGTTCACAAACTGTGTTCCATGAAGTGTCAATAGGTGTCCCAGGGAAAAGGGAAAGGTTTCACGGTCAGTTAAGTGTGAGGGATGCTAGGTTGGATCAACTAAACAGGTTTCTCTGCAGGACTTACCAGAGCCTTGATTTTGCTGATTGTGAATCTCCAGATGGGGAATATTACATAGAGGAACTCCAGACTTATCTGCAATAGAATTATTCGACTCTTCTGTTTCCTTGAAAGCCCCCTGTGGAGCATATTGAGGGTGAGATAAAAACGAAATAATGTAGCTAATGTGGACTTGATCCCCCTCTTCAGAACGACCACTTCCCTGGGCTTGTGGATGTCATCTAGACCTTTCAAAGTGACCCAGTGGGTCCCATGCTTCTCTGTCTTGCCTGCCCTGCTGGCTTGGGGTGGCCCAGATTTGATTTTTCTCTTAAGTGACACCTACCCTATGGCCAGGTTCTCTGAGTATCAAGTTCATTGTCATTTTTCTCCCCCAAACACAACAGGGTCTTTTTGCCCCTTTTGCCTCCAGCTTCTGCTCCGCTCTAGGCTGTGGCTTAGGCTTTGCATCAACTGAGGCAGCACTGTCTAGTGATTAGAGCTGGGCTCAGGAGCCAGACTCCCCAGGTTTGAATTCCAGCCCTGCTGTTTCTAGCCAAGTGACCCAGGGTGAGTCACTTAATGTCCCTCATCTGGAAAATGGGGTTAATAATAGTTTCCACCTGCAAGGGTTGTGAGGGATTAGATGAACTCATGCAGCGAAGAGTTTAATTGCTCAACATGTGGTAGCCACTAAGCATGGGGTGCTTTCTGCCACCGTCTCTCACCGTCATCACAATTACCCAGTGAGGCAGGTGCTGTCATTAACATCCCCATGGTACAGGGCAGGAAACTGAGGAGCCCACTAGGGCTCCACATTTCAGCAGCCCACCTGGACAGTGGTTGCAAGACACAGTCTAGAGTCAGGGCAAGGGCCAGATGTTGTGCCCTGACTCCCCTGTCTCCTGGACAGGGCATGGGGGTGGGGCAGGTGCCACCACCCTGCACTCGGCCTGTGCGGGTGCTGCACATGCTCTGGCAGCAGGTTTGGTGTGATTGCCCATGTCAGGGAAGGGCCACCCACTCAGACCATCATGGAGAGGCAAAATATACAATGGCCAGTTGACTGTGTGAATTTTTGGACCTTCTAGGGATGAGGTAAGCAGACGAGTGCAGCGTTTCTGAGACTCAGGCTCATGGCTCTGAACATTCTCTGTCTTTCCTCCCATGGTGGTTCTCAGCACGGTGTCCCTCAGGGGCCCCTGGGGAGCACACTGAACTTTCAGATTCCTTGGCTCCATCGAAGACCCACCGATGGTGAATCCCTAGAGGAGCCCAGGAGTACGCCTTTCTTCCTAAGCTTCTTGGGTAACTTGGGGCTGGCTGGGTGATAACAGTCTGGCAAAGTCATCCCCAGTTTAGGATCCCTTGTTAACAAGTGGGTACCCAGCTGACAGGTTCCACTCAGATCCCAGCGCCTAAACCTTTTCCTGTTCAATGTCTACACAGGGGAAAGCCCAGTAGGGCCTGCGGATGAGTCAGAATTTGTTGGACAGCTCAGTGCACACCTCAGCTGGTTGCAGAGACCCTAGTCCCTGCCCTGGGGACCTCCTAGTAGCATCAGTTCAGAGAGCATCACTGCCTCGGACAGACCCAGAGAAGCTGGGTCCCAGGCCAGCAGCATACAAGCCCAGTCCCCTGTCCAGAAAAGGAGGAGACGGGAGACTCCAGATAGCATCTTGGGACCACTAGGCTACACTGTGCATGGATGGAGAGGGGTTCCCAGGCAGCTGCCAGAATATGGAGTGCCAGTCATCTCTCGAGAGCCTCAGTTCCTCACCTATACAGTGTGCATGTTGATGGCAGTAATGGAGGCCAGCTTGCTTCCATTCTGGTGAGGCATAGGTGTCACTGACCTTCTTTTGGAAGCCTTATGTTTGGCCCAATCTGAACCCCTGCTTGCCTGTGG